GGCACGAGTAGTTGCAACATTTGTTGCCAATTTTCTTGGCCCCGTCCCAGAAGAGGCAGCAGGCAGCAGACAGCGACAGCTATGGCTGTAGCTTCCCATATATTTTGCAAGATTAAGCACACAATTAGCAATCCTGGCACTCGGGCCTGCCGGGGGCGAAGAGGACGGGGGGTGTGGCGGATCTGATGGCACAGACAACAACATTGCCAATGCGCTGCACATAAATTGCAGGCAAAAGCCTCCCCCAGCTACTGCCTCTCCTCCACCCCAACCCCAGCTCCAACCCCAATGCAGGAGCACAAAGCACACCCCTCTGGCCCGCCCACCCCCTCCCCTCGGCATCGGTTGGGCGTACGAAATGCTCGCGCAACTGATTAAATTTAAATAAATTTAATAAACATAAATTATTTGCAATGGCAGCCAGGAGCTGCCTCTCCCCCTGCCTCCACCTCGACCGCTTCCCGGCTGCCACCCCCGGGTCGAGCACAAGCTAATGGCGGCGCTTACCTGCCCACCCTCACATCCCCCGCTCTGCTCGGTCTGCCTCCCCCAGCTAAAAGCCGCACAAAGGCGCCAGATGTTGCCCGAGAGCCTTGTCAAAGAGCATTTAAGCGGCTTTTCTTTCAAACTTTAATTAGTCTTCGTCGCCGCTGCTCTGCTGCCGCCGCTCCAAGGACTCCTCGCATTTGCATATCCCGGGCTGTGTAGAGCGGTCCCTGGGGATGTCGTTTTACCAGAGAACACTGCAATTTGCGCTAAATGCTCGAAAGATCGTTCGGCCCGCTCCCCAGCTTGGGGAAGCTATGAGCTCCGGCAAATCGACGCGGCAGAAATTTCGTAGCCATCAGAACAAAATTCCTATTCCTCACTTGCGTGCATGTACAGATATGTATGAGCGTGACTGTGAGCGTATTATGTGCGTATGGGTGGATCTTGGGGCATGTTAAATGTCTGCCGTTTGTTTATATATCTTTCAGCATGCCATCCGGGAAGTTAGTTTCGAAAATTCATACCAAATATAAACAAATCAGCATAAAACATACCACACCAAACCAGCCACGAACACACAATTCACAAGCGAGATTTCTGCTTCTCCAAAAACCAGACAAATATACCAGGGCGTGAATAAGCATTTGTACATACATACATACATACGTATGTATGTATGTATGTGTATTCGTATTTTCGGTGTACATACATATATGCTGGAACCACGATTTCCGGGAAAAGAGAAAATAATTGCGGTTGAAAAAGTTAGATAAATCAATAAAAATTATGAATGTGATTATCGTATTCGAAATATTCGAAATATTTGTCCTCCTTTTAAGACCTTGCAGGGCTGAATATCTACATACATTTATACATATATATGTATATATCTGTGGTCTGTGGTAGATTTTAAAGATAGAATCCTATATCACAGTAATACATACTCCAAAATTTTGTTTTTTCTGCATTCAAGCACAGATATTAGAATTTGTATTTATCAAAATCTTTTTTAATTTATTTTCATCAATTTTTGTTGCATTCACTCCCTATATTTTGGGCGGTCTCCAGTGAAGATATAGTATTCAAGCTCATTCAAGCTCCCACATGTGAGATCAGCCGAATGTGCAGAAAACCTCCCAAGATTCACCCAAATTCTGTTCAAAGACAAGCACAGAAAAATTTGCGCGCCAAAAGTCAACAAACAGGCGAGCGGAGTATCGGGAAAATTCGCGGTTCCCAATTCGCGGCTGGTCAACAGCAGCAAAATCAGGAATTTATGGGCCGGCAAACAGTTAGGCCCGACAAAGAATTCAAATTAATTGCCACAACTGAAACAACAGGGCTACGGGTAAGAGTATTTACACAACTTGCGGTTGGGGTTGGGGTTGGGGCTGGGGTTGGGGTTGGGGCCTGACCACAATGTTTCGGAGTTCTGTGTCAAGCGATATGTACATTTGTTTATTATTTTCCAAAAAAAACTAAGGCTAGAGGAGCGGAGCGGAAGAAGAGAGGGAATAGAAGGCAAACACTAAACACGAAATACAACAAAATGAATGTTTGTTTATTGTACAATTTTGTGTCGCTTGAAAAAGAGGCGGGTAACGGGAACGGGGAACGGGGACCGGGGACCGGGACCCGCCAACGTCCCCACGGAACCACTTTCGAGTGCACACAGATATCTGTATGTAGATACGCCACAGACAGACAGAGATACAAATACTCACACCCATATAAACTATGGTGCTTTCCACCTCCCCCCCGCTTAGACCACCTTCACACTGGGCGTGTGTCTGTGTGTGTTTGTGTATCTTTATTGTACGCTGTGAATTGTTTTTATGATTTTTATGTCATCATAAGTTTCGGTCTGCGCTGTTTTTTTCTGTGCCTCGTTTTCGTATGTTTCTGCGCTTATTTATACGCGCCGCTGTTTATTGAACAATTACGTTTACTTTTATGATTATTAATATTTTTAATTGTTAATGTCATTGTTATAGACGCTGTCCGGGTCTGGGCCCATTCCCATTCCCATCCCCATAACCATTCTCATAACCATCCAAATCCCATTCACAACGTTGACAGCGGCGCCTTGGGACGGCCATCTCGTCTTGTCGTTCCCCGTCAGTGCGGCTACGGGTCCACGCTCTTCAGTCTTAATCAGATTCTGATTTCAATTCTGATTCCAAAACAGGCACTCGGCACTCGACTTCGATTGTGCCTCTTGCTCTATTTGGCCAACGCCGCTACGTCTGGAATTTCTGTCTGTTTCTGGTTCTAGCTCGCTGATTTGTTTACTTGTTGCATTTCGGGCCAGGAGCAGCCATATCAGTCAATTTTAGACTCGATTTACGGCGCGCTAATTGATTTTTAATTGGAAAATGGAAATGGTTTTCTGCGCAATTGTGCAACGAACCGGTTAGGCCAGCCGCCGTGCATGCGGCTCCAAAGTCATGCGATATCTGCTCAGCGACTGTCACGACTATCGAGATATTAGGAAAATATATTGTGAGAGCGAATCGATCTTCAAGCAAGCCCGATTGTCTGATATCATATTTACTCCACCCGTAGTTTTCCTTATGTCCAATAGGATTTATCAATATGAATGAACCCTAAAAGACCTCACGATGGACTGACCGTCACAAACTCGACTCAGTTGATATTTTTCTTTAAAATGTGGAATTTCGTCTCTTCCATAGCTGTCTCTGCGTTCGAATCATGATTTGATTGCCAGTTTGAAAATGAGTATTGAGTGAAAATGCCTTTCTGGCCGGGTTCAATGGAAAATCAATAGCAAATTCCTGCTGCTATGTGTGCTCACTCTCACTCTCTCTCTCTCTCTATCTCTCTCTCTCGAAAATTCCGGTTTGCCTGCGCCGACTCACCACTGAACTCCCCCCGTCTCTGCTCTGTCAGCACATTCGTTGCCATACAGACGCTCTCTCACTCTGTATTTGTGTGCGTGTGTCTACCTGTCCGACACAGACACCGCGGCAGCCATGTTGGATTCCATCACTCCTGTGCGCACTGCAGCCGTCTCGCTCGCACCTGCGCGTCGCAGCCGCCATTGCGGGGCTCGTAAATCTCGTTTAGGGGCGCGTGTGTCCTGGGAGTCGTGATTTATGGGACGAATTGTAGCTGCTCATTGTAGCGTGTAAATAATTTAGATTAGTTCGGTATTCCGCAACTCCTGCCCCACTCATGCCCCAAGAAGGAGCTGGAGTTTGATTAGAATTCAAATTGCTTTTTGGCTTTCCCCGACTGGGTCCAGACGACTTCGTACCAGCCAGCATCTGGATGTTTATCGATTGAATGGTCCCCGGAAGCTTTTCTGAAATTAAAAATATCAACTTGAAATGATTTCGGACTGGTGGGGGGGTTTTACTGTCGTCTCCGACCTTGTCTTATCTGGGAATGACTCACCAGAGCTGGTAAACAGCACAGGTAGAGCTGCCCGTTCATGTCACGGCTTCAATCGATCCGTCAATATTTTGCCAACTGCCGAATATCATAAAAAATGCATAGGTTTGAAAACCCGAAATGATTTACAGCTGCAACTGAAAATGCAACGAGGAATCGCAAGAGATGCACCTTTCACAGTATTACGCAAAAATTGTCCTTTTTTTATTCGGTTCGAATGTTGTTGTAGTGGGAAAGTCGCAACTTGAAAACCATAAAAAATTGCTGCCGACACGAAAACCTTTTACAGGAAAAACTCGACACAAAGCAAAAAACAGAGAGAGAGGCACGACATAAAAGCCATAAAACGGCAAGCGGTCGACCCAAAGTGAGAGGCTCTGATCCAGAGGATGCGGCAGCAATTTGTAGATAGCGAAATTTTGATTTCCGAAACATAAACACGGAGCCTGTGCACCGTCGCGCAAAAAATTCGCACAGGTAGCGTGGAAAATCGGTAAAAAAGAAAATAACACAAGAATCGCCTGGCATAGGAGCGTAGGAAAACGGAAAACCGAGTCAAAAACACAGGGCCATACTGCTGGGCACCGCGGCGAGACCTGCCGCAGCGGGAGCCGGTGTGTTTCTTCACCCTTCCATGCACTGCGTGCAATCCAAGGCGGAATCAGCGCAGGGTCAGCCTGCTTCCCGGGGAGCCCAAGTCCTGGGGCGCCTGCTGCTGCTCTGTCGCTGACGTCAGATCTCTCCACCCTTCCAGTCCGTGTTCCAGCATGATTGTTAGACAAACTGTTTGCTTGGCTCTTAATTTCCAGCCAGTGCAATCTCCTCTCCGCTCCCAACTCCCAACTCCCCATCCCGGATCCCCGATCCCCATCCACAGACCCAGGCAAAAATCATGCGGCGACGCGTGACATGTGTTGCAGCCCGTTACGCCGAGGCAGAGTTCCATTCCCGCCTGTCTGACAGCGTCTGCGACTCGTTAAGAGTTGCCAGAAAAGGCAGCCCCAAAGAAGCCGAACAACATTATCATACCAATGCACAGCCAGACAGTGTGAGTGCGTGACTGACGTGACTTTCTTTGTTCTTTCTCCCGCCCACAGGCCCCAACGGATGCCCTCGCCGCCGCGGCAGGCAGACCTACACGCGCTTCCAGACGCTGGAGCTCGAGAAGGAGTTTCACTTCAACCACTACTTGACGCGGCGACGCCGCATCGAGATCGCCCACGCGCTCTGCCTGACCGAGCGCCAGATCAAGATCTGGTTCCAGAACCGTCGCATGAAGTTGAAGAAAGAGCTGCGCGCTGTCAAGGAGATCAACGAGCAGGTGAGTCGATCCCCCAGGATTCTCCAGAGCTCTCATTTTGGCAGTGGGCTAGAGACCGACCTTCGAGCGGAAAGCTAAAACCCTTTTCCTTGTGTTTTCGTTTCCATTTAAGGCCCGACGCGACCGCGAGGAGCAGGAGAAGATGAAGGCTCAGGAGACGATGAAATCCGCCCAGCAGAACAAGCAAGTGCAACAGCAGCAACAGCAGCAGCAGCAGCAACAGCAACAGCAGCACCAGCAGCAGCAGCAACAGCAGCAGGACCACCACTCGATCATCTCACACAATCCAGGCCATTTGCACCACTCCGTCGTGGGCCAGAACGATCTCAAGCTCGGCCTGGGCATGGGCGTGGGTGTCGGCGCCGGAATCGGTCCCGGTCTTGGTGGCGGGCTCGGCGGTAACCTAGGAATGATGAGTGCCCTGGACAAGAGCAACCACGATCTGCTGAAGGCTGTCAGTAAAGTCAACTCGTAAGCTGCACCCGCCAGCCAATCTTCCGCCACTAGCACCACGCCACCACGCCACCACGCCACCACCGCCGTTCGGCGTTCTTTTTCGTCTCCTCGTCTGAGTAGCGCGAGAAAGCGAAAGATAAACTCGATAACTAAAATACGTAAACCTTTACATAGTAAATAGTTACATAAGTCTACATTTAATGGATATAAATTCAATTAAGCATACAGAAATACGTACAGTACACACGAATGCGAAATCAATGAGCGCGCACTGTGGCTCCGATGCGATCCGATGCGATCCGATGCGATGGGGTGAAGTGGTTCGAGTGCTGTCATCCTCAGATTTCCCGAGCTTTCATGGGGTGGTGCTGTCTATTTGATAGGCAGAGCCACACCTTCGATTTTACTGCAGCTCTACAGAGCCTCTTCCATTTTCTTCTCTTTCAACCCCTAGTGGATGGCCGTTCAATCAAATTCCACCCCAGCGAATCGGATATGGGCTGAAGTGCGCAACATGCTAATATTCATAGATAATAGATAACATGAACTACTTAGAATAGCGTTAGCGGTATATGCTTAAAAGAAGAAAGAGGAGTTTCCAGGAGACGCGATCTACGGACGAAATGAGCGATTTTTAATAGTCAGAGAACCACCTTACCCGCGTTCCCGTTCAGCCAATGCGGTGGGCAGGGTAACGAGTCGAGTTCAACTGTAAAATTATTTGCGACTGCTGTAGGATTACCTAGTACGATATAGAGCCACGTTCGACTATGTTTAACGAGGAGTTCGACATGAGTACACAATATATGAATATGCTTAAAGATACTTACTTCTAGTGTTAGAGCGTAGAGCGTACCTTTTGTATTTACCTATTTACCTATTTATTGGAAATCCTTGTTTACGTCGAGACTCTTCGAAAACCCCTTCCTGTTCTGTTTAAGTGAGGTGTTTACCGTGTGTTTTTGCCGTATTTTGTTGTGTGCCCCGCCCACGCTTTGTATACAATGATTTCTTCAATGCCATATTAATCTTAATTCGACTCAACTCGATCGCAGCGTCTCGATCGGTAGCATCTGAAAATATGCAAACAAATTGCGCAAATATTTCCATATATAAAAGTTGTAAGAACGAACAACGGTATGCAACATACCAAAAGCATAATCACGATTTCAAATACGTAATAATAATAATAACAAAAAATCACGAAAAAAAAACTCATTGAAATATATAGAAAGAGGACTCAGACGAAGCTAAGAAATAAATTGTCGTTTTGCCAGTGACTAAAATTTTAAATTAACTACAGTTAAGTGATGTACTAGATTGGGCTAGACGTTGATTGATTGCGAGGCGCAAAGGTCCATGCATCTACAAAAACAAAAAGAAAAACACAAACAGAAAACTCTGAAATACGTATTAGCTTAAGGTTGCAACAACAGACAAACTATCGAGGACGAGGACGATTGTGGGAGAGAAGTGCAGAGAGTACGAGTATGCCATCTACGAGAGAAGGCGGAAAAACCCCATATACGTAGATTTCCACTTCCCGAAATTAAATTTACCTAGCATAATCTTTGAGGATTGCAAATTGAATTAAAGTCAAGATCTATTTATTATACACAACCGAAGCGCATATTTACATAAACAATTAATGACAAATATACATATATAAATATACATATATGAATATATATTAAAAATATATACAATATGAACTTTATGTGTATGTATAAATAACTAAGTGTATGTGTATCTAGAATGTTAACATTAAATGCAGTCAAAGTCGAGTCACACTTTTCCACACACCACCACCAACCAGCATGCCCCACCCCGCGCACATCTTTCGCTTTAGGAGCACGGACACCTCTTCAGGTCTGCTTTGCCCCCCCTGTTTTGCATTGGTTCGAGTGATATTAATGGGTAGCGACAACCTTTTGCCTTTTTTCAAGACCGATTGAAGAAAATTTTGTTTCTGTTTCCGTTTTCGTTTATGTATAGATGTGTTTGTTTTGGTTTAAGTTTCGACTCATTCGGATGGCATAGAAAATTAGCGCATACTTAATATTTTGTTTGAACCTTAATGCTAATTACTTCTGTTAATTTTAGTTTAAGTTTAGTTGTGACGAATTGTGTATTATATAATTTTATGCGATTTCAAATGAATGCGAAAATAACTACAATTAAACAACCTTTGTTTCACTCACTCACCTCACCCAGCGCGCTCGCCCATCGACTGGCGACTGGGAAACAACTGCAACAAGAACCCATCCATACGGGGTCCCACTTGCCACGGCCCCAGAACTTGAAATCAATCTAAATATTAGCCTAATACCCAAAGACCATATATACGTAGCAACCAAATCGATAACCGATAAATCGATATATACTAACCAACAAAGTTTACTCACCCAGCCTCACAGAAACCGAAGCGAAATATTGGGGAATCGCGATAGAAACAAGAACCGAAATATACGTAACTGAATTATATTCGAACTTTATAACTTGATAAAGATCCTAGTATTAGATCAAGAAGGGCGCCCAAAATTTGCCATCGTATTTGTACATAATGCTGCATAACTACTATTTATAATAAGAAACTGGATTAACTCGAACACAACACTCACGTCATATATAGAAGCTACCATTCCCCGGGTTCGAAGAGTGTTGGCCGGAGCCAAGGGGCTGAATAAAATGTGGATTTATGAGTTACTGATCGAAGCGAGCCCCCTTAACAAACGAAACCAAAATAACTTTAGTATAAGCCAGCAACAAAAGTGAAGAATTAATAAATAAATAAAAATAAAAACTTAAGAAAATATGTCGAAATAATTGCGGAGTGGTGCTGTGCTCTGTGCTCCAATTTAGTCTGCTTTGAGAAAGTTTTCTTCATATTTAGAGTCTATGAATGCAAGCGTTTTTCTGGATATCCAAAACTGGCAATATATGGGCCTATTTCCGTGGAACTTTCACTTATGGCTACACTTAAATCCAAAAAGCTAGAAGCTAGAAACGTAAAAGCTAGAAATGTTAAAGGTAAAGAAAGTATAGTTTATTGGACTTATCCAATTTTATCCATTTTATCCTCAGATTGGGTGATAGTTTACACAATGATATTTACACAGTGATATTGTGGAAACAAATATTATAAAAGCAACCGTAATGTCAATCGATTTTCTGTTTTCGCGATATGGGATTACGAGCAACATTTACATTTGTAAGATATCCTCGTCCGATATAATGGATCTTACATTCATCCGTAATTGGTTAAATCCCCATGTGTGCTAATTTATCTTGACAAGAGTAGTAGACACATAATCTCTACTACTCATATGTCGAACCGTGCGTTTCATTTATATTTCCGCTCAAATTGACTTGACACAATAGAGTTCTTTGGGATTCATAAATTCTCGCTTGCTAATGCCGAGGCCACAAATATTAATTAACGAATGCCGTTTTATGGAAATTGATTTCATGCCTCGTCCAAAGGATGATTGCGGTGAGGGTTCGTCGCGTTCGCTGGTAGGGGGAGGATGGGTCGACTTTCGCTGTGGCTGGAGAAGTAGCTCTGCAATTTGCAATGTGGCCACGTACTGTCGAGAACTGTTGCAAAACGCCTTTAATTAAATTTAATTAATGCGGCAACAACTCAACGGATTATGATAATAAGCGCACACATAACGACGGCATTTATGGCACACACATGTGCACCAAGGAGCAACGTAGTTTGAGGAGAAGTTCGATTCGCTGGCGGAGGAGGAGGCCAGACGATGTCCTTGTCCTGTTTGGAGCAACGACGGCGTAATGGCTGCGTCAACGAGCTGACTCCTCGGCAATGGCAATGGCTGCGGAAACGGAAGCCCAAGCACCCAAATGGCTCATGTATGCAATAAAAGAAACTTTCGAAAACGTCAAAATGGCGTTCCAAAGATTGTTCCATTGATGCTGGGAATGGGCACGACAGTTTGAGTGAGAGTAGGGCATGGGGTACAAGTTCGGTCTTGGGTTCACGGCGGATGTCTCTGCTCACCATGCAGAGCACGTAGGATGAGCACGCAGAGCTGCACGGGACCGGGCCGGCACAGGCCGGGACGGGCTAGGCATAAGTTCCCATTTGGATGCTGTTATTAGAAAAGTTTTTGTGTCGGTTAAACTGTCCCAAAGGCGATCATCGACGCGATAAGGCAACATTTGAAATATTTTATTTCATATGCTGTACGAATAAAATTCTCCCAATCCATAATACTATATACTTATACTCCAAAAGAAAGATACATCTTGAATCAGTTGGGCAGCGATATGTTCTTCATTAATAGGGATTTTTCCCGATATCTCAATGCTATGTTATGTTATAACAAATTTATAAAAATCCGAGAGGCGGAACTTTTTGTTTCTCTGCGTCACAAACATACTATAATGTAATACTATATAACTGGCAAACTGTACCCATATCTTCAAATAATTGTCCAGACGTTATTATATTTTGTTAGAATATACAAGTAGCTCAGCCATTTCTCTTGACACTTGAGGACTTTCTACCGACTGGATGGTTCCCACCAATCCAGCGAGATGCCAACTTTTGGAGGCGTTGGAACAACGGTTTCCGCCATATGTTTTATTCATGTTTTACGTATGCATGCACACATATATCCACCACCTCTCAGTCTCGCGACCCCGGGCATCAACGTTAGTCGGCCGTGTAATTCTAATGCCAAATCGCACATAAACTCTGGCAATTTATGGCATTCAAATTCGTTCGCGGGTTGAGCCCTGGCCAAAAAAGAATTACAATATTTTGACAGGGCAAACAAAGCCGCAAACGCCAAGCGATGATCCTACTTTAAATTCTGCTTCGGTATCGCGTCTGGGGCTGATGCGGATGCTGTTGGTGGCGCGGCATATGCGAGGCATAATTACAGCCCATCGCAGATGTTGCCATCCGCGAACCCTGTTCCTGCTCTGCCCCTGCTCCTGCTCCTGGCTGAGCCCGGGCCCTGGGTCTATTCCAACAAAATGGCGGCCAATTACAGTGCGCGTTTCGTTTAATTGAAACATAATTTTGCATAAATAAAACAAGGCATAAAACACCCTGTTCGATGGCACCCCCGTCCCGGGCCAAAGTCCACATTAATGGCGGACCAAAGGGAGCTTTTTCAACCAAGTTCAAACAGCGACAGTCCCACTCCTGAACCAGGAACAGTATGCGGTGTGTGTGCAAAAAGGGTCCCATTCCCATTGCCGTTCCCGTTCCCAATCGAAATCGCATCCCAGTCGACGCCCTTCCTGGAAATTTGCAGCCGGAGTGTCCTCTGCTCTGGAGCGGCTGTGATGATGCGTCGGGCCCGAGTGTCTCACCCAGCTCTCGCAGCTCATTGCGAATGCACAGGTTGATTTTATCCCCTGGCACTTTTTCATGCGACTCCGGAATAGATTGGCCCGTCGCAGACTTCATCTCCGCCGTGTAGGCCTTTATGTGTACACTTTCTTCGCTGTTGTTGTTGTCTTTCCACTTTTATTTTCTGTTACAAAATTGGACATCTCGCCGTGCTGCTACATCATAATTTATTAAAAAAGAAAAATGAGTTTTCCCTCTTTAGCTCGACACTCTGTGCGCCCAATTTTAAAGCCCTTGGCGAACATATATCACAATTATCGCCTGCCAATATTCCCAAACAGCGGGAGAGGAGCGGCAAACTGAAAGGTGAAGTTTGCAATTGCATTTATTGAAAATGGTAGGCTGGGAACAAAAAATGGCAGAGCCACAGAATTTCCATTGCAATTTTTAAGGGGTTTGACATTCAACAATATTACGAGTATATATGTACCATTTTCGCTTGCCCAATAGTTTGTGGAAATGAAACCTGATCTAGCTGGATAATTTTGCATACAAACACAAGCAAAAGGGAAACGGGGGTCGCAGCCATTCAGCAAGCCATTATGGCGCTGTTACTGTAAGACCCCATTGACATTAACACTAAATTTCAACTAAGCGATCTTCAATATATTATAATAATCCACCGAGAAACCAACCGACAAATGCGCGCCGCATTCAAATGAAACACAATCTTTTGAAACTGAGAGCGAGAGCCAATCCAAACCACCACCGTTACCACACACAAACAGGGACACAGATACAGATAGACCGCCCAGCAACCCCCTGCATGGCTACTTAGGGCTCCCTCGTACTCCGACCAGGACGAACAGGGCTGAAAGGGCAACGGAAACAGGAACTGAAGCTGAAGCTAAAACACGTTGCTAACATTGCAAATTTTTGTTGATTTAATAAAATTGCACCCACGAGACTAATTTATATGGAATGTTGGTAGTCGAAAAGAGAGGCCGAATTGGTTTCAGGTACAGCACAACCATCCTTGTTGACTGCACAGTGGGCTGACCAGAGCACACAATTGGGTGGCAGTTTTTGGATGCCATATTAATTTAGGTGTTACATAGAATAGATTTTATTATTTCAAAAATACCAACTGGTATCCAAAATTGTATTAAATGGAACAAAAGAGTAGTACTTAGTGGTAGTAAAACAGTCCGGCTCGAAAACGGTACGATAGTTTATTTTTTACGGAATTGAATTAGGAAAATGTAACTATTTTATGATACAATAATGGTTTCCCCCATTTTCTAAACAATTCAAAGTAATTGAAGT